AGAGAGAGAGAGAGAGAGAGAGAGAGAGAGAGAGAGAGAGAGAGAGAGAGAGAGAGAGAGAGAGAGAGATGTGCATTGACAGACAGCAACCCGCACAGCCAAACAGAGGGAGCAGCACACACAAACACAGCAGAGCATGGACATGGACACATGAACCTCCTAGACATACGCATACGCACATGTTCTGCTTTTCCAATCTGCTTCACAACCACCTAATCAGCAGAAACGAGGAGCACCTGCCTGCACTTTTTGGAAGATAAGCAGCAATGACACGGTGTTGAGAGCAGGAGTTTCCTCCAGGTAGCAAGGACAGGAAAGAGATCATTTGATCTCCCATCATCCGTGCGTTAGCACGCTGATTAGCCAAGCATCCTTTACAAGATGGTGCAAGGGGCAGAATGGACAGAACTGCTTGGCTGACCAGATGTGGATAACACATGAGGATGTCAAAGGAGCAGGAGACGGAGCTCAGAGTTGCAGGAGAAGTAAGTCAACCCATCGATACCCTGAGTCCATCTTCATGTGTTCAGCATTGAAGAAGAAGATGGTTGATGGAATGAAAGTGATGTCGAAGTACTTCACATACGCCTGCACTCCCTCTGCTTCTATATCCACCAGGGAAATAGTTGCAAATTTGGATAACTCCCGCACAGACTTTGATAGCTGAAGAAGAGAAAAACCAGGTTTAGGAGATAGATCCACAAGCAAAAACAACCGAACAACAACCAGCTCGTAAGCATCAGGGGAACCTGCCACCTCTTGCTTATCTTCTTTATTTAGTCGGACGGCTTTTTCTTTCTTGTTTCTTTCCCTAACAAGAAGGCCGAGCCTGGCTAACCTTTCCATTGTGCATAGGCCAATGGCTCTGGCTCCCTCTCCTGGTGGTGAAGTCACTGGCCCATTCATATCCTTGGACCAGGTTTGCTTTCTCACTCTGCCCTTCGTGCTTTTTTATCCTTTTCCTTCTTGTTGTTTTCCCTTTCACATTTCACTTTCACTTAGCTCGGTGGCCAAGTGACCGGTCGTGACTCTTTCGGCATATAGTCCCAATAGACCTTCCCTGACTGCATCCAGCCACGACTGAAGTCATGTACAACAACCAGGGAAGTCCCAGCGTGAGTATGGGCTCCTTTCCGAAGCAAGTTACTCTCTCAGCTCAGATGTCTCAATAAAGGTTTGAGGTTCCCCTAAGACTTTTCCCAACCGCTTCATAGAGTTACCCACATGCTCCCAAATACAATGCAGGGGTTATTATACCTGTATTGTATGTTCTGCAATGAACCCATATTGTGAAGACACTCGTCAACAATGCGAATCCAGAATATCAAGCCGCTGATGATTATCAATAATCAAAATCGTGTCCAGAAAGAATGAGATGAGATAATCATACACAGACGAAGGAGAGAGGAGGGAGATTAGACAAAGGAGAGGAATAATGTACAATGCCCGCTCCTGCTTCGGGCTCCTTCCTCGATCGCCACCTCAAATAATCAATAGTCTGAACACATATTCAAAGTCCTGCTACAATGTGCCACGTGGCACGTCTAATCAGTCCCTCATCAGCGCTGGAGCAATGCCGACATGAAGACAAACAGGTACGTATCCACGATCTCTCCACAGTCCTGATCTCCTCCTGAAGTGACGATGAAACAGAACAGCAGTGCCGGTCACGTAGTCCCAGCAATATAACACGTGGCAGCAGCCACGTCAGCAACAACGCGTGGCAGCTGCCACGCCAGCATGCCTTGAAGACAGTAGCCAGCCAGCCACCATGCCAAGCCAGCAGCGCGTCGCCGCAATCTCACAAATGCCAGCACAAAAGCCGGCGTCCACCAGCGTCGCAGCGTCGAGCCAGCGTCGCGTCGTCAACGCGTGAAGTCAGCATTGACACAAGACAGAATGAATTTCAAAGCCAGGAAGTCAGCGCTTATGTAGCGTTGATGCCGGGTCTGGACCCCGGATGCTGCATCCCTCAACTGTCCAGATCTCAATGCAAACAAGGGCCCAGATTGTTCTGAAACCGAATTCCCTCCGGCCTGGATGCTGTCTGGGTACCTGCGCACAACAAGTGAGTGTATCCAACCAAGGGCCTGGGTGCGGTACCTTTGACTTTACAGTTGACTTTGACCTTTGAATTTCCTGTGTGCAGCGTTCGGTCACACAGCAATTCGCGACAGACTCAGGCCTGGGCGTGTCTTGGTCACACAGCCCAGCACAGACCGACTCAGGTCTGCGTTGCCTGGGGCTGAGTTCTGGGCCCCAGGCTACTTCTGACAGGGTTACTGCAGTTCAGCGCGATTTGCTCATTCAAAAAGTCACATAGTTCTTCCTGAGCATGCTCGAACAACCGTATGGTACAGGTTCAGCTTCATGCTCTGCGTGTACAAGGATCCAACGATCCGTTGGTTGTCAGCTGGTCTCCCTCCGTTACCCCCGATTCTTCCTGCCTTCTGTCATTCCCAATACTAGTGCACTTTTACCCACCTAGACTGACCCAGTCCTTTAAACATCTCACGCGATCCAGAACATTCACATCACACATATGGACTCGTTCCTCACACGGACTGGACACGAATTCGGCGCACGAATATTCATTCATCACACGGACAGGACACAAATTCATCACGAATAGACTCACGATGACCAAAACAGATATGAAGCCAACTCTCATTCCCCTCCGAGAAAAATCGTTCGAAAATTGTGAGGCACATGGTGAGCCCGAGTGAAATCGAATCAAAGTACCATGAAGGTCTCAGGTGATGCGCTACGCAGCGTCCTGCCTACCACGTCCTGGCAAAATGCCCGACACATTTCTGCTGCTGCCAGTACAGTGTCTTCAGGGGCTGGCTCCGGAAAGGTGAGTTCGTCATCCATCTGCTGGTCTTAAATATCCCTACAGCTCTGCCTTACCCCGCTCAAAACTTCAACAATTTGAATTCCTATTTCCTCCTCCCCGCTGTTGGTTAAAAAATCAAAGTTACCGATCACCAAAAAAACACTCAATTTCGACGGTCAATTCCTAGCCCCGCTCAAACCTGAATCCCACGCTTCCCTTACCCACCCTCTCCAAGGTGAATCAATACAGTGAAGCATCTTTCCTTTGGAGTCTGTGATCCACCTATTGTTAAACAAGGGTTGTTGACAGACCTCTTCCCACCTCTTCAGGGAGACTTAATCAGGAAGGGGTAGTTTACGCCAAGTCCGGAGGAGATCGAGCCAGAAGGGGTCATTTTTTGTATCTGTCCTTATTACCTAACACGATGGATGAACTTCCTGGCCTGCAATTTGTGCCCTACCTCTAGAAATAGATCAGTAACGATTTTCAATCCAGATCATTGAATCCGTTCCTTTAGGGGTCACCAACGCTAAACAGGTCATCTGTTCCAATGCCAGAGGCAGCCATAGAGTTTGAGGGCTGAATCCAGGATGCCCAGACCACCCTTGTGGCTGGATCCAGGATGCCCAGACCACCCTTAAACTTTGACTGGATCACCGCTTGCCAGGCCACCCTACTTATGACATTTTTGCACTTATGATTCTCCCTCCAAAGGTAAGCAATCAATTCTCTCTGCAGAGCTTTGAGGCCTGGTTTGTCAAGTGCCCATATTGAGGATTTATACGATAAAGATGCATGTTCAGTCCTTCAGTGACCCCTCTGGCATCGGGTGCCTGTGTCCTCCGGGTCCGGTCTGTCCCCTCACATCTCAGTCACATTGGCCGGGACTCCTGAAGCGGGGTCAGCTCGTGTTCAAAGGATTACAGGATTCCGAATCGTATACGGAACCAAGCTCAAAGAAGGCTGTCATCACTGGGGATACCTACATCGAATCAGGAACCACACGCTGATTAAGGGCCGAGCGGGACTAATGTAATGAACCCAGACTGGAAGATGTTCGTCAGACGTCGAAGTACAGGTAGGCTCAGATCTGCGCAATGTCTCCAGTAATCGTGAAAGTGATATCTGATACAATGTCTCGTTACCAATAGATGAAGAGAGTGAAGGGTGAATAGACAGAAGAGAGGGTGGAAGAGATAAACAGTGTCCACCAAAAGAGTAGCCCAAACATTACCCACTCCTTCTCCGGGCTTCCTCTCGCCTCCACGTCATCAATCAATACCCAGTAACAGGTCTGACAAGTCCTGATCACATAGAAGTGCCAAGTGGCACTGTCATCTCGTGGAGACAATGAAGACAAGCAGCAGTGCACGGTATCGACGTCAACCTCAGGTGAGTACCACTTTCCCAATCATCCACAGATCCCGATCTCCCTCCTTGTCACAATTAGTCACCTTATGTAGACAGCATGGCCAGTGCCGCGTCAGCAGTAGAGACAGGTGGCATACGTGTAATGAAGCCTGCAGATTCTCAGTGGACTGTACATTGGGCCGAGGGCGAAGCTCGGGGCTTGCCTCGGTCGGGTCGCGTCTTAGGTTAGATTCGTAATTTTGTTTGGCTGAGGGCTAACCGAGAGACCTATCTGTAAGGAAAATTCGTGAGGGACATTTCTGCAAATTCGGGAAAATACAGGCCCGTACTAACTGAATTTCCTACAGCTACCCTAACTGCAAATAGCAGACCCGGGCTACCCCTAGGACAGCCAGGCCCTACAGGCCTAAGCTGATAGACGGTCCTATAGCCTATAGGCCCTAGAGGCCGAAACAGAATCGGTACCGGTCGGTCAGTCAGTCCGGTTTAGGTCGAGTCTAGGCTAGTTTAGACTATAGATAGGATGGGCACATCAGTTCAGGGCTTTTGGCAGTTGGTACCGAGTACATCGCTGCTGCGCTACACATGAACCGGATGTGGTGACGGCTCGGCGTGGAAGGAGACAGGCATAGCCAGACCTTCGGAGCACCGGCCATAGCTGGGACCTGCGCTGTACTCTGCCAGCACGTAGGAGCTGACAGAGGTCTGGGCTATCGAGGTCTGCTGGAGGCGAGGGAAGTTGGTGCCCTGTTGGACCCTCCTCCGGAGTGGGGTTCCAGGGTGGTGGCGCTGCAGCCATAGCTGCAGCTTCTTCCTCGGAGGTCATCTTGTCAGGGGTTGGTGGCGCTGCTGCAGACTTCCACCCGGGAAGTCTTCCGACACTTCGTCAGCATCAAATACTATGGCGCTGGTCTTCTTCTTCATCCTCTGAGTGGCACTTGGCCTCAGAGGCCTGTTTCAGGGTGGCGCTTCCCCTTGGAGCCTGTATCAGGGTGGCGCTTGATGTTTCAGGGACTCAGGGGTGTTACGGGTGATTACTCAGGGTTGGGGAGTGAAGCGCTGCTCAATTTTGAGCAGCGCACTATAGTTTTGAAGTTATCCTGACAATTCGAGACTCTGAGTTTAATAAACAGTGTGTAACTGGGTTTGGACTATCATCGTTTCATTGTTTCCTGGATGTGATCTGCTCGACTTTTCTTTATGACTGGTTGTGAGGACTGAGTGGAGTGAATTGCACTTTCAGTGTACCCTGTCATGTCGCATGGTCAAGTCTTCCGTTGTGTTTATCTCTCCCTGTGCGGTGTGATACTCCTATCCTCTCCCCTTCCTTTTGTGTATGTATGGGCATACCTGGGAGTCTATGTGAGTGAGTATTGGTCTTCAGACAACAAACAACCAGAATCATAACAGTTGGTATCGCAGCGATTGGATCCAGACTCTCACCCATCATCATCTG